GAGCGATTTTTCGCCGTTAAGACACATTTGGAGATACAGTCGCATGGCGAGAAAGAGAGAGCTTAAAGATACAACAAGAGAATTGGATTTGCGCGGACTCTCGCAATTAATATTTTCCACGACTGTCGGCGAATATCAGTTATACGAATTAATTCACGATATTAAATGAGATCACGCTGAAATTAATTATTCGGATATTCTTGCTTTCCAGATTGGAAATATTATCTTCAGATTAGTGTTTCGCGTATCCGCGTATCGATTATATATCGAATTGCACAGCCTGGAGGCATACGTTAATAAAAATATGCCGCCGCAAAAATGTGCGCGTATAAATTATTTACGAAAACTAATGGCACCACTATGCAACAATATTTGCATTGATATTAACCCTTTGCGGTACGTAATCCGGGATATTCAAGCCATTTGGGCAGGAATATTCGACGGTTTTCCACACCGCAAAGGGATAATATTCATGATACATATGTAGATATTTTTATAATTCATATTTTTACCTCGTGCTCGCGCCCCATTATCAAATATTCGAAAAACGTAAATACCATTCGCATCATTTATTTTCACATCAATGGCTGTGGACGCATCCCTCAACCGTGCTCGTATTACCGATCGTATTAGTTGCACGAATATTCCCGTAAAAGGTAATAATTTCATAATAATAACATAACACTCGCGCGCAAAGGAATATCATCGTGTGTATGGGAATATAATTTAGAGAGAAAAAAAAGAAACACCCGCGCGACAGAAGCACGTTCCCGGCCATTTTTTCCGCCCGATGGATTCTCAAATTCTCACCCCTCACCCCTCGTAAATTACCATAATTTTCCAACCCTAAAAATGCACGCGCGCGACCGAGATCGCATGGAATTTCAAGTTCCATCCCGTCCATATCAGGGACGAGTCACAATTTACGGCGGCGCGGGGACGGGCGCATTTGCTTTCCATCGGCGTACGGGGGCGGGAGAGAGGTGGGGGCACACTTTTCACACCCTCGCTTGAAACACCATAAAGCACCCGACGAGGCGGGAAGGTCGAGCGAAGTCAAGTTGGGTTAGGTTAGCGTCGTGAATGACGGAGGAGGGTCGCATTTCGCCCCGATAAAGTTTGTTCGATCGGCCGTTAGTCTCCTTCTTATGGCCCCGCGCGCGCCCCTTCGCCGCGGCAATCCTTAAAGCTGCGTGCACAATGAAGCACAGATCCTCCGGAGATTCTCTGACGAGAAGACTCATCGGAAGCAACTCGCTTCGCAGCATTGCGCTTGGTGCATCGCGAGCCCTTCGATCATTCTTCCCGCTCATTTTCTTTGACTTTCGTACTGTTTTGCTTATTCTTCACGCATATCCATTTAAAATAGCGAAAGCTCCGAAATTATCTCAACGAGCACTGGCTTGTTCACAGACGAGTGACTCGAGAGCACGCAGCTGCCCGCAACTAACCGCGGTCTCTAATATTTCAGCGACCCAGAACTACTCGCGCTTGACAAACCCGCATTTTGAACGACCTAACGGGAATATCGTATTATCAGGGTAGCCAGTGGCACTTAAATCGGTCACTTAAATCTCAGTTACGTCGATAGGTGCCGCGAACGGTTTATGTTGAAGTAACGGTTCGTAAAACCAAGCGCTGATAAAGAGTTATCGGAAGGCTTATCTACTGGACAATTAGTCGAGTAAAATTCAGACCTCGCGTTGTTACCATATCCAATCTTTTGTCGTCTCCAAAGAACACTCGTCGTACATCGATTTAAAATTCTTTGTAATTTAACAGATATATATATATATTTTTTATGCATTAATTTATTTAATAGCTAATTGCTAAATCGTAGTAGCCTTCTAATCAGTAAAAAAGAGGGAAAGAAAGAGAGAGCGGAAAGATAGATTAGAGAAAGAGATAATTTACTGGACGGTCCAGGACCGCGATTACCCACACTCGTGATGTGGAACCGGCATTACACATACACACACAATTCGTGCCTTTTCCCGCGGTGAGGCGGGCACGTTGCCGCCGGAAAGCGTGCAACGGCCGCGGACGAACGTTTAACTTTGTTCCGAAGTTCTCCAAGGTCGTGCCGGCGCGCCGCGCCCGTTGTAGGTCGGTGCCACTGGAGTAAAGCGCGAGAGAGAATTTCCCGAGGCCGCGTCATAAATCTCTATCTGCTGCCGGGGGTAAACGCTCGCGGGATAGACTTCGGCGACGACTGTAATTTCGCGCCACCGGGGTGTTGTCTCTCTCTCCACGTGCGAACACGTGTGTACGTGCGTTTATGTGATTGTATGTGCGCGCGCGCGCGCCTGTGTGTGTGTGTGTGTGCGTGCGCGCGCGCGCGCGCGCATATATCTGTATCGAGGGCGGTAAAAGATTTATCTGGCCCGTTTTCTTGTACGCGAATGGAGGGAAGGGACGGTTATTGCTTCGGCGTTTGCGGGGCGTTTCTCTTGCTAATAAATTTATTATCGATGCGGTGGTGGTAGCGGCGGTGGCGGTGGCGGTGCGAACTGGTAATGCGAACACAGAAGGATCTTTTTAGTTTGCGAACTTTCGTGCTAATTTATCGGACATTTCAAACAGTCGATCGTGGTGAACTCAGGGATTACTTTCTCCTCGGCTTTTTTGGCCGTCACGACGGGGAGGAATCTGCGTGCAGTTTCTTCTCTTTTTTCCGCGCGATATACACTTGATAATGGAAAGAATTTTTTTAACAATTTGCGTGCAAAATTCCGATTTTACCAGTGTGTTGCGATCTTCGTTAAACTTCCACCTTTGAAAAGGTGGAACGCACCGACGTGATTAGACGTAGCGTAAAAGACGTTTAATTCAGCGACAAGGCGCAAAGGGGATTACGGCGTGACTTCGCGTAAATAATTTATTTGTAGTCACCGTGCCAACTTGGACGTGCAATTATTTGCAACGACCAAGGGGACACGAGGTGGACTCCATAATCTAACCTTGCAGGTCAAAGTGAAAAGAACCGACTTGGATCTGAAGCGCGCTTGAATCCGGGCTATTTAATCCTTTTCCGCTGTTGGCTTTGTAACATTCGCCGTGTCGACGAGGCGCACTTAGCCGCCAAATTGGCGCGATTATGCGGCACGCGGAAACACATCGAAAACAAAACTGGACGCGGCGGGGGTTACTTAACGACCACTTGCTCGCTCATCCGGGAACAGGCGTAAAAACGATCGTTTGAATATTCCCACGCGCAAAACGATCCGCGTAATCGAACACGCGCGCGCGCGAGTGTCTTTTAAGCATCGCGTTTAAGCACCGTATTTGCTCACGCGATACGAAATAAACGATTGCGCGCGCGCGCGCGTTTGCCAAGCATTCATACGTCAATATTTAGAACGAGAATTGTCGTCCGTACGATTTACCGCTGTTTGTACGCTATTTATGCGCGCTATTTATTATTTATACAATGGAAATTTGCGATTCGCGAGCGCTAATTGGCGCCCGTCGCCGCTGAAACATTCGAGCGGTCAACCGCTAATCGTTTGTGCATCTTGCACGAGATTAATTTATATCTTCATGAAACACTGAAATGCTCTCGCGCGCGCTTTTCCTCTCTCTTTCTCACCTTCTCTCTCTCTCTCTCTGCCTGTATTACTTGGTGAGAGACTAGTTAAAACACTAATATACGCGCATATTGATTACTGCTGTATTGCGCTTATAAATATTACTACAGGACAGCGTTTCTAGAGATTCATTAATGCATGTTAGATTTATTTTTCACCTCAGTGTGGATTCCCATATCACTCCCTTCTATAAATTACTCAAGTGGTTGAAGTTTGATGTAAGAAAAGACCGGTCGGGTGTCGGGAACTCTTTAACGTAATTTTTCTGAGAAACCGGACTGACTTGTGGTTAATGTTAAATTCTACTTTGCAACTTTAATTAGGGATACCAATTAAGAATAATAAACCAACAGCATAATCGATACTTGAGAATGCTCTGGAGCATTCGTGTCGTCGCTTAAATTGAAAGGTTGCCGTAAGACGCAATTAACGAGAGCGAGCGTGAATTTTATAAATATATATATATATATATATATATATATATATATATATATATATATGCATGTGTGTGTGTATTTATTTCTCGAATGGAAATATACTTTAAGCGTATATAACATGTGCGACGATAAAAATTTGGAGGACGATGATTTTAGTAAGCCGGGCGAAACGATACCGCCGTGGATGGACCATCGACAATGGAAACAACAATGGTTGTCATTTCTATTACAATAGACACGCCGCGCTTCTGTTCTAACAATTCCATTATCTCCGCGCGAGAGCGTCCCCCTTTATTATGCCTATCAGAAAATTTAGATCGTTTATTTAATGGGATATAAATATAGTCGAGCGCGGCCTATTAACAAAACACGGAGTATTTCGCGCGGAACAATAGCTTTGCGAAGTCATTTGGCCGTTCACGCGACGATTGCAATTATCGTTTCGTTATAATGGCCTGCCGCAAGTAAGCGATTTAATGCTTAACGTTACGCAATTAAAATTAAAAAATGGACCCCGCTGTGATCTCGTTGAAAAAGATCTCTCTTTTTTTTTTTTCAAAGTCGCTCGTGCGTGTGCATCGGCGATACGTGTAACAGCGACCGCGCCGCTGATAATTCCATCCTTTGATTTTTCTACGATTAAAGCTGTCACAAGAGTCGTACTTGCATACACGCGAGTATGTGTGCGCGCCCATATGTGCGCATACACGCGTAAAGAAAAAAAAGGAAAAAAAATATATATATATGAAAAATATCTTTTAAATTTAATAGCGTGCTTAATTAAAAAAATCTAATTATGCATGCGGATTTTAAATTACTGGAGCAGAATTGATTTAAAAATTCATGCTTCACCGTCCGCAGTAATGAAACGAAAATGATGAAATTCGTTGTAATCGCAAGGAAATTCGCGGCCATTGTGTATGCTTACTATTAATTTATGCAGTGACGTAATTATTCTCATTGTTCCTCTTTTCAGGGAAATGTCTACACCTAAGTGGTCTCACGCCCGAGCCATTGACAGCGGACGACGATTACAAACTCCTGCGCCTCGGCATCGGTTTTACAAATATGGTAGCACGCGCCACGAAAGGCAGCGCGGATCTCACGAGAAAGGAAATTAAAGAAGGTCAGTACACTGGGTGTTCTCTTTAATTTTTTCTGTTTTTTTTTTTGATAATTTTCGTCTGAACGTTCGACGAGACAGTAGACGAAATCGCGACCGGAAATGACTGTTGCGTAAGTCGCCGCCGTCGGCGAACGCGACGGAATTCACGCGTTCGAACTTGTGAATTTGTATTTTCAACTATATTAACACATCACATAATAACACACATAATGTATACATGTGTGTGTGTGTGTGTGTGTGTGTGTGTACACGCACTCAGTTCCTAAACGGTTTTCACACTTTTTATTGAATGCAGTTGCAACGCTTCGAGTTGTCAGAATTGAAAGCCACTGCTGACGTGTACGCGCCGTAATCGGTTGTGACAGGAGCCGAAGCGACAGTGCAGAGTGTGACATTTGTGAAATTTGGAAGGCCAGAATTTATTTTATATTAAGAGAGCACTTTTTGGAAGAGAGTAATTTCTATATGTTTGTAACCGATTACTGCGCATTACATGTCAACAGCGGCCTTCAATTCTGACAACTTGAAGCGTTGCAACTCCATCCGACATAAAGAGCCGTATTAATAGTCGTTACTTGAAACTTGCCTCAGGTGAGACATTCAGATCTGAATGTGGAATTAGATGTGAACCTCTTTTAAACTGAATCGCGATTGTGCAAATGCAATTTCGCACATATTATATAATACGAATAAAAAACTCAAATTTAACTCTGAATAAAAAGATGACTACTATAATGGCTTTAATTATAATGGTTTCAGTCTTACTCGTGTACGGCCGGAAATTGTGTAACTCTCGATCTAATGATAGTGCATTCACGGCTTCGTGTGTGCACTCGTTCTCTGCTTTTTTTTTTTTGTAAGTTTCGGAATCTGCGTCTTCTCTAATGAGGAAGATCTTTTTATTGGAGAATAAATTCTCCCATTGAACAAAGAGAATAGATTCCTAAACTTACAACAAAAAAGCAGACAATCTCTCCAATCAGTGTACATTTCTCGTCGCGATTTACATATGATATCGCACCGAATTTTGCAGAATGCTTCATGCTGATTGATATCTCGATACGAATCTTCATTTTCGGCGCAGCTCTGCTGTTATTTACTCGAAATATTCCAGTAAGAAATTACTTAAGATTTGTCAAACAATTTTCTGAGAAAATTGCATTGTCAACGAGAAGGAAAGTCAATCCAGATCGTGATTGTCGACGCGAACGGGCCAGTCCTTCTTTCCCGGGGCGAGTTGCACTACCAGCCGCGGAAACAATGCACTGTATTCTACCGACCTAAACGTTGCCGCGAGAAAGCCGTACACACACGTCCCATAGACACACATGTGTCCCGTTAAGAATTGATAAAGTTTCGTTCACCGACTGCCTCGAGTACCGAGTCGCGAATGGTGATTCCGCTCCTGATAGGGCGGAATCGCTCGGCGGACACTCGGCGCACACATGTGCGATAAAAATAAAGACGACAGGAAGGAAACAAACACACCTCCGAGGAACGTGCAGTCCCCGCGCTCTCGTTCGTGACGAAAAGAGATAGCGTGTTTTCCGCCGTGCTTGAAGCGCTCGCGTCTACGACGCCGGTCTCGTTCCTTGCCTGAACTCCTCCACGCTTCTTATCTTGCGTATTTTAATGTTTCCACGCGCTTCAGCCGCCGCCACTAGACGACTTTCGTTCGCGCGCTTCGAGATACGCGTCCTAAAGGCAGGCCTTTGGGCGGCCTGCAACTCGCGTCGGGTCTCCGGCTGAGGTCCCATTTCTGAAGAGACATTCGAAAATCACGCCCGCCGCACCGAACCGCCTGAAGCCGGATTAGCGCTACGGCCGAATCTCTTATTGCAGTGTCGAGGCCGATCTTTAGACGTTCCGTCTGTCATGCCCTGCGCTCTCTCTCTCTCTCTCTCTCTCTCTCTCTCTCTCTCTCTCTCTCTCTCTCTCTCTCTC